GCCTGGGCTACTCTCTTGCTCTTAGTAGTGTGGCTCCACCAGGCCTGTTCCCAGCACACTCTGATGCAAGTGTGGAGAGACACAAGCTCTAATTCAGTCTGGCAGCAGGGAGGTTTAACTCTCCTGAGAACAGAGCCAAGCTTGCATGAGTAATACCTAGCCATTYGGAGCACTGCTAGGAGACAAGGACTGGGCTAGTGGGGGTGCAGGGCTGCCATGAGGGGCTGAGGTGACGTGGAAAGCAACTCAAGCAGAATCAACTCAAAAATGAGASCTAACCCATCCTCCCTTCTAACAGCCATCAGGTCCAGTGCAGCAGTGCTGAAGCCCAGGATGCAGCATTGGCAGCATCTGTCCTGCACTCTCTGGCAAGGGGAGCTGAGGGATGCTTGGGTGAGTTGAGGTTTTGTTTTRTCTTGGATAGTCTCTGCCAGAAGAACTGTACTTAGAGAGTCATGAATAAATGATAGCCCGGCGATGGAGCACTGTCTTCCACAGCAATTCCATGGGGAGGGAGGAGCGTTCTTCATTATTGTGGCCATTAYATGTGGCCAGACAGRGGTTATCAGAGGCACCCTCTGGAAKTGAGTCTGTCTCTTCATTGGCTATAAAGAGAGCCCCAGGTGACAAGATTTCTCACCTAGGGCACAGTTTCACCATCTATTTAAGCGTGGTTTTATTGTCAGTTCTCCAAGACCATCTGCCACCCCCTCCCCATTCAWAACCACATCTGCCATCCCCTTTGGGACAGYTCTGAGCATACACRCACACAAGTACATAGCAAGGCCTAWCAGCCATGAATTTGCCCAGATGCGAGCACAGAGCATTGGTGCTGCAGTCACCAGGCTGACAGGAATTACACAAGAGGGATATAATTTAGAATGAAGTTTTGTTAAAATATCTAGGGGTCTTGTTCATTCACTTTGTAAGGTCACAGACTTTTAGTGCATCTTTATACCGATCACTTTCTGTTTGTGGAAGTGAATGCCATGGCTGAGGGTGGAGTGAGTTAGGTGTGATCCCCATTCAAGGAATTAACTAATCCTTCTTGTCCGACTTCCTGCACATCACACACACACACACACACACACACACAGACACACAAACAGAGTGAATGACAGAAGGAGGTAGGAACTTCCCTGTTCACTGTGGGACGCTGAGCAACAGTGGGAATCACCTCAGGAAGGGCATTAACTGGGCAACTTGCTGACCATCTTCCACATGCAGACAAACCTGATCTGCTCTGGGTTATGTCACCACATCGGCACGATGGCTACCATACATTACAGAAGTGCACAGCAGAAGGATGAGGGGCATCYAACACAGACTGCAAGGAAAAAACTCTGACTGAAAATAATCCCTTACTGAAAAAGCAAGCASATGCCCAGTGCAGCATCCCTGGAGAGATTCAAAGTGACCCTGTGACTTCACCAAGACTCACAAGGAGAGGGCAGCCAACACTTTCTGGGTTGACTACCCCAGAAAATGGGTACCTGAGTAGGTACCCAACTGCTCAGTTGGAAATGCCTTGCTTCTCAACTTTGAATCTTGAAAAGCCATGTTCCTCCTTTTCTCTGTTGGGGTAGAAAGTGAAGTGACCCAGTTTGGTGCACTACAGAACTGATTTGCTGACAGATATATGGAACCACAGTCAGAGCAGAGTCTGTTTCCTGCAGCTTTCACTCTTCCAGAAACTTCTGCTACCCTTGAATGCCCAGCTCACAGGGAGGAGCTCTCAGAGCTGGAGCTSGAGCCCCAGGCAGAGGTCCAGGTTTTTGCTTGGGGTGCCCAGCAGCATCTCTGGCAGGGAGAATGCAGAGGGAACTTCCTCAAATGGGCATCTATCACCTTTCTTATGGGCTCAACCTTTCTGATTCTGGGGACAAGGGAAAAGGGCTGCATCCCCAGGGAAGGGGCAGCTCAGGGTTCATGTGGGACCAAAGCGGTACAGTGGACACTCTGCATCGGGGGAAGGTAGCACCAGTCACATTGTCTGGTGTGAATTATTGCAACAATAACTGTTTTTCAGGTAACCTATGTTTCTTAAGAATGACACAGGACCACAGCTGGTAATTAAAGTACCATTATTTTTCCTCAGACCAGACCCAGACTGGGTATAATCTCSCTTTCTCCATCTCTCTCAGCTGCATTTCACTTATTTTACCCAGTTAACAGCTCAAAGAACAGAGAAGATACTGGTGCCAGGCCAGGTCTGGGTTTCATTTAGTAAATCAGAGCCCTGTGCTTGGGGACAGGACATTATCAGGCACAATACCCGGGGGTCCGGGTCGCCTAGGGACTGCTTCCCACGTCCGAGCTCTGTCCTGGAGCTCCTGGCAGCGCAGTGTGATAGGAGAGCGCCAGTGCCTTGAGCAGCGTGTGTTGACACTGACCTCTAGTGGGAATAGATCCCTTTCTCTTTAGTTTTTCCCTGCAGTTTTAACCATTTTCAGCGACACATCTTAAGCGGGCCTGGAGAGAGCCCAGAATCAGAGCTTCGCTTTTAAAACACTCAAAATCAAATCAGAACATCAAGACTGGCCTCATATTATATTTAGTTATTTTTAATACCTCTATCATTGCCTTCAATACATTATTTACCTGTATTTATGCATATGTATATCTCTCCATATTTAAAGCCTTTCAAAATAATGGGAGTCCAAAATTTGCACAGCCAGTCAGAAAAGCTCTCTGTTAGGAAGACAGCATGAAACGGAGCCCAAGCCTTGCTGAATGAGTAACAGAAGGCAAATAATGAGACAAAGAGGCCAAGTTCCTCTTTCAGCCTTTCCAGTAAAATTGTCTGAAGGATTAATAGAAGCACAGCGAGGCAGAAGAGGGATGGCAGGAGATGGTGCCTGAGCTGGGCATTAGTGGGTGCAGTTGAAAGGTCAGAGGAGAGTGTGGCAAGCTATGGATGCCTGGGGGGYATAGCTGATGTTAATGGGGAGTTTGTGAGCTCCCCAACTCAGCTGCAGCAGACCATGGCAACRCAGCCCTGGCAGAGCACTAGCCAGCTCAAGAGAGTTCAAGACTCATCTTAAGGAAGCTGCAAGACCACAAGCTCCTGCTGAACTCACATCAGCAGCAGAGGAAGGCCACTTCCAGGGACTRCTTGATAGCCAGAGGTGTAGACAGCTTGCAGTGGACTGGACTGTGGAGTCCCCAGTGGTGGACCCCTGCAGAGCTGGTCCAGGGCTTGCTAGTCCAGATTCTGTGCTTTGGCTGAACTGTTCCTGGACATGTGCTAGTCCTGGAATCAGGATCCACACCTATTCCCCAATTGGAACAGGACTGCAATATAATCAAGGTGTGGCTGATGCTTGATGCAAAAGTAAGCAGCAACCAGTTCACAGAAAAAATAAATCTTAGTGTATTACTATGCAGGTTTGTGTTGATTTGGCCATTTTATCCATAGGAAAGTGTACAGGGAACCATTCCATGATAGAGCTGCATCTCTGACAACACCTAGTATATTACTAGAGAAAATGGCAAAGGCATTTAGGAAGGAAGTTGATGGATAACCTAGTAGCAGTTGGGTATGGAAAGCTGAAAGAATTGAAATTTTGTGTGGGGATAAGGAGCAGCAGCTACAGGTGGAGCTGGGATGCAGCCACCACCAGGGTGTGAGAGGGAGTGACATGGATATATGGCCCAGATCTCCAGCCTGCATTGGACGGAGCTGACATGTAGGAGAAGTTTCTTTCCCTTAGTAATTGTAATCTTGCACCCAGGCTGTGCCAGAGACACTGAAGACACTGAAACAGATCCTGAGTGTGGGAGGAAAACGTGTGACTGGAAGTTATTGATTCCAAAAGAAACTTACCTGCCTCCCTGCTGCTGCCCTCACCCTCGGAAACCTTTCTTCCTGAAAACTCAAAGGGACAGCTACAGTGTTGGATAGGGAAATATTTGTTATTTTGCACAAGGTTTGTGTGAGTCTATCCAGTATCCATCACCAAGCTCTTCACAGGTAAGCTTCCTTGCAGGWGATTGTTCCCTTCCTGCTCAGCTGAACTGGAAAAACTGGCACCCTGCAGAGACTGAAATTCACCTCAAGCAATAAAAGCAAAAAGTGAAACTGATTTTAAAGTGTCAGCTGTGTTCACAGGTATCTAGGTTGTCTTTTGAGGAAAGCCCACTGCTTGGGACTCAGGAAGGTAATTACACGATGTCTACACAGATCCAGGAGGAACACCATCGGTGTTTCAGTGCTGGGAGTAGAGCACTGAAATGCAGTCCAGTCAATCATTCACAGGCAGTGAGCTGGGCCTTCATTTGACCTTCTGTTTTCAGCTTTGATCTCTATGTCTCGGCTGTTCTTGTGTAAGCCCTGGCACCTACTCTGGGCTTTGGGATTTGTATTTGCAACACAGAAAGGTAGTGGGAAGTGGCTGGACCAAGAAGCTTGGGCAGCCAGCKACAGACACCTCCTGACTTTTCCTGTAAAGGCAGAACAGATGAGAAGGTGTCTTGCGAGCGAAACAATTTAATGTATGCCCGTGTGAAGAGCAAAGGTCTTGTTTGCACCTCTCTCTGCCACAAGTGACATCCACCATATTGTTTCCTACAGAGCCTGTGGCTTCAGTCAGCACCTGCACACGCAACAGCATCCTCACCCACACACCGCCTGGTTTCACAAGGTACCTCTCCCTGCCCTGGCAAACCGGCCTGCTATTTAAAGAACCCAAACCAACAGGGCAGGGGAGGAGGCAGGCCCAGGACACGCCGGCCTGCACTGCCCAGTGTGGAGAAGTGCAGTGTGGCCGCCTCTCTCCCCTGCGCGCCCCACGCTGCCGACCCTGGCCCACGCTGCCGGGCCCACAGGTGACTTTTGTCTTTCTCGGTGCTTCTGCCCTCCCCCGGACGAAGAGGGCGGGCAGAGGCAGCCCCTCGCTGTGCCGGGGCGGGGCGGTGGCGGGGGAATCCCGGGCAGGCGGGCCCGGCGCGGCTGAGTCAGTGCGGGCAGGGGCAGGAGGGGGAGGAGGAGGCGGCGGAGGCGGAGCCGTGGCCCCTTACACTGTGCGCCGGCCGCCGCTCGCTGGCTTTCCGGCCATGAGCCCCCCGCCAGCGGGGCCGGGAGCGGGACCCGGGCCGGGGCAGGGGAACGGCGGGCGCTGAGCCATGTCGCGGGCGGCGGGCGGCGAGTGCCGCAAGGAAGCGGCGGGCTGGGAGGGCGAGGACGGGCAGTGCGACTCGGGCATCGAGTCACTGCGCTCGCTGCCGGGCGGCAGGGAGACCCCCGCCGCGCCCGAGGGCCCGTCCGCCGCCCCCGAGGCCCCCGAGGAGACCCTCGCCGAGACCGCCGAGGAGCGCCTGGACTCCAGCTACGGCTCCGGCGCCCTGCCCGAGGCTCTGCCCGAGGCTCTGCCCGAGGCTCTGCCCGAGGCTCTGCCCGAGGCTCTCCCGGGGGCTCCGGGGGACCGCCCCGAGGAGCCGCCGCCCCAGCCCGAGGGGCTCAGCCGGCAGCAGCTGGAGGCTCTCACCTACCTTTCGGAGGACGGAGACACGTGAGTGACCCACGGGGAGCTGCAAGCGCAGGCCCCAGCAGCCCTCGGCTGCTCCCCTTGCGGGGAGCCGGTGCCTAGAGTTAAGCCAGGCTCTGCCTGCCGTGGTCCCCAGCCCTCTGTCGAGGAGCATCCGTTCAGCCGGGCTGGGAGGCCCTGGGCCCTGTCCCGGGARCCTCCCGCCTTGCCTAGCTGCGCGTGGATGCTTGGCATCCTGTTTTAGGTTTGGGTGGATGACCCCTCTCACTTGCGTGATGGGTGTCTGAGCCAGGCCCAGCAGTGTGAGCAGGAACAGATGTACCCCAGGCTACATGGCACACAATGGACTCACCGTAGGACGGCGGCCTCCATTTGCTATGGGGCTGCTACCAACTAGAAGAGAGCGGGGAGCAAATTGAGCCCCCCTCACTGTCTGTTCCCCAGAGAATGCAGCATTTCCTTCACAATGGGGAAGGCTTGACTGGGTGAGGTGGCCCATAAGCAAGTCCTGAAACAAGATTGGCTATGCAGGGCAAGACCTTGGGATGGCTGTGTAAGACACTGCTCAACTGATCAACCCAAGAACTGTTTGCTTCCAGGTGGGAATCACCTTGCTTTGCCAACTTGCCCCCAGAGCTGCAGCTTATGGCACAGTTGTGATGCACACCCTGATGCAGGGCTGCTCTTCTGAGCTTCTGTGACAGAGACAAGTGTTTCTCTTGATGGTGGGGGGGCTTCCCACATCCGTAATGGCCTCTCAAGGGCCAAGGCATCACGCCAGAGTTATTTGGTTTGGCTTCTGGTAATTACCTTCAGCTAATCACAGCGTTTTTTCCTGTTGTACATTCCCTCGATGGAAGGTTTTCRTCATGAGTGTACACACAGAGCACGAGCGAAGCGTTCTCACAGTTGAGGGCAAAACTTTGCCTCAAACTCAGGCTGGAGTTTAATACTGAGCAATGGTGCAAGAGGAAGAGAAACTAAGAGGCAGTGAGTGACATGAGCAAGCAAATGTCTTCAGCAGCAGGCACAGCAAGAAGGCTGTCTCTGTCCTGGCCTGACAGAGCACATCTGGATTGAAGGTGAAGATGAGCTGGGAGACAGACGGCCCGAATGTTTACTTCCCTGTTAGGAAAGGAGTCTGTCCATCTGCTAATTAGTTCATTAATGCTTACTGTGGGATCTGTTCTGAGGATTGGTTGGAAGTCTCATGGCAATCAAAATTAGACTAAACCCAACCTCCCACGCTCCCCAGACAGGCTTTCTAGTCCTGTCCTATCTAGGCACTGATTCTGCAGCTCATCAGAATGGAGGAGCTTCACCAATTTTCCCAGCTGTAATACTAGAGCCAAGGTGCCCACAGAGAGAGCCAGGAGTCTTTCAATCAGAGCTGTGGAAGTAATGCTTCTCCCCCCAGTCTTGTCTGTCATGGTGTGCCCAGGACTCTTTGCTTAGTGTTTTCTTAGTGTTTTGTTTTTTGTTTTTTTTTTTTTAGTGAGCCCCATAGATGCAGCTGTTTGGAGGTGCTTTTGGTGCTTGAGGCTGTCTTGTTTGGTGGTTGAAGCCCTTTGCCWGTCAGACTTGCTTGGAGAGACCTAATCCAATCATCTTTAAACTCGGAAAACATTAATCAGCGGTGCCTTGGTTACTGTAGGCAGGAGAGGCTCTCAGAGGGCTTCCCAGACAGTTGCCTTTGCTCTTSTGTTTTCTCTCACAGTGCAGTTCAGAGCAGGAAATCTGTAAAGAGTGAGGGAGGTAGCAATAGGTTTGCTGGTTGTACAGCTTTGGGCTTGCCGTGTCCACGCAGGAGACAGCTTTCCTGGGATCTACTCCCACTGCTGGGAAAAAAACTATTCTTGTGGTTAGAGTGGTGAGGCTGTGGATTTGTGCCTCTGCTATTCTTGTCTCTCCTCCTGACCCTGTGGCAGAGGTAGGTGGCGTTTATATTTAGAAGTGCTGAACATCCACCACTCAGGTCAATGCAAATGGGGACTGTGAGCACCCAGCRACTCATTGAACTGCCCCCAGTTTTGTATGTGAAAACAAGTCAGGGTTGATAGTAATGTTAAAATCTATGGAGCAATTGCTCATCCAGTGACAGAAGGTCCCCAGAGAGAAGGGATCAGATGGCCACAGGCTACATCCCTTTCATCCGGCCGGACTAACCCATCTTCTTTTCATCTCTGTCAGCAGCACATTTCTTTGTGTGCCTTTTTTGAATGTCTGCCACAGAATAGCTCYAGGCAGGGAATTAAAATCATACTCTCATTATATTTCAGAAGACTTGGGCAACTACACTTTCCTGAAATTGTAATTTTGAAAATACAAAAAGTTTGGCAAAGTAGTTCCTGTTTCCSCAAATGCCCTGGCTGGTACCAAGCTGAGAGGAGCTCTGAGCTTGCACAAAGGGAGCTGGCAAAGGTCTTGGCTCTACATCTGACAAAAGATCTTCACTGTCCATAGCTTCCTTAGGCTCACCYACCTGTGCCATCAGAAGGTGTGCCTGTGTTTGTCAGCCTGGCACTTGTGGGGTAAGAATGGGAGGTGGAGGCAGAAGTGAGGAGCACATGCTTGGGTGGTTGGAGTGTCAGCAGGATCCTCCTTGGATACCTCCCTGTCCGCCTCCGCAGGAAAGGAACGTCAGTGCAGGCGGGATGAAGCAATGGGGCTAAAACTGTCTCTCTCTGAGCTCAAAATTAGGARTCTCACTTTGGCTGGAAGGAAATTGGCCAACAGGGAAGATGGGGGTATGATGGCCAGTAAAATGCGTGGGTGCTGTCTTCCAAGAATTATTTGCCCAAACATCATCTTTTCCATGGCTCCCCAGTGCCACTAGCTAGCTCCTCTGCCTCAGAGAGGTCAGAGCTGCAGTGTTCAGGCATTGGCACATCAGTCCCTGAGAGAGAGGGCTGAGCTGTGAGGGCAGGAGAATTCAAGCATGAGGAGTGGGGTGGCAGGYGGAAGGTGGTGGGTGCACTTTGGGCAGTGATCTGTGTTCTGCTTATTGTGTGGGCACRTAGAGAGTAAACCCTGTGCACTAAAGCTCAAATGATTGCTCGGAGYATCTGTCTTCCTTGTGACCCAAAATTCCAAATATCTGTCTCTTCCATGTAAATAAGCTCCCTTTCTGCTGATTTGGGCCGTGATGGGATTGCTCTGCATGGAAGGRAAGAGAGGAGCATTCCGGCTGTAGGTCTGGCTACCTCTGAGCAGACTGCAGGCAGATGTATTGGTGTGCCCCAGCTTCCAGACCACCTCAACCTTTKTTAGGATTCACTGAGGAAAACGCATCCTTCCCAGCCTCACCAGGCACATGCACAATTCCAGCATCCTGGGAAAAGGATGTGTGTGGGACCAGCTCCCTCGAGGTGACGTGTGGTGTGAAGGAATCACCTGTTTTGTTCGAGCACAAGGGAAAACCTCCCTGTTTCCTTTGGCTAATGCCAGCCTCTGCCAAATCTGGAGAGGCAGAGTTGATTCATCAGTGTGCAAAATCAAGCAGCATTTCCTCTCTCTAGGATTATACAGTCTATCTTACACTTAAAAACATGTTTCCCTTTCTGCCCATGCTGGTCCTTGGGCCACATGCCACTTYATGCCATTGGTAGGTGATGCCATGGTGATGGAAAGGCTGGGGCCTGCACCTCTKCAGGAGGGTGACTGTCTTCCACATGGGGCTTTGTATGCAAAGCAGTGCAGCACYTCTGTGGGGGTGAAGGTCAGGGGACCCCAGTTCAGTCACAGGAGGGAGACCTAGGCCTCCTTCAGATGGAAAATGGGCTTGTGTGGTTTTGGTTGGGTGTGTGTTTCAGGGAGGGAGGGGAGCAGAGGAAGCCTGACTTCCTCCTTCCACCAGAGACAAGTGGTGCCCCATCTGCTGATAAGAAATCACGTGCCAGTGGCTTGTGGGCTGAAATGCCTTAAYAAGGGCTTGGGGACAGTTAATCAAGTAAAATCAGGGCCCTGTGGGAGCTGATGTTCTGAACTCTTCTCCACATGATGGTGGGGAAGGGGCCTCCCATGCCTGAATGGGTTGTCTCTGAGCATGAAGATTTACCTTGAGAGGCAAAGAGCCACTTGGCATGTGCAAGTCATAACCTTCCCAAGTCATGTAGTCCTGGGATGAAGATCTTCCGTGAGCAGGGGAATAGAGGTTGTCCCCATTCAGGCTGTCTGCTCCTGTGTGGCTGCTTGCTCACTGCTTGCCCTGCTGTATAGGTGTAGCTGAACCCGTGTGCCCTGTGTACCTGGGGGAGTGCTCAGAGTGTGACAGCAAAGGTAAAAGAACAAGGAAAAAGAAACAGAGGACTGGACAGACTCAGTTTTAGGAGAAGGATTGAAGAAGTCTTATGCAGGGAACAGAGCTGGTTGCTGGTCAGGCTAGGAGACCCCCTACTTTGCTGGGCTGCCAGCTGCCCAACAGTGGGATGACCACAGTTAATGGCAAATGGGGTTGCTCTTGGTTTTACCAGAAGGGCTTAAGAAACCTCCTTGCCTGATTGCCAGGATTTAAGTCCATCCCAAGTTACTCCCTAGCATGCTGCCGATTGTGGGGTAAAAGAGAAAGTGAGTTCTAACATGGATGAAGAGAAGGGAGAAGAAATTCTCTTCTGTGTCCAGCTCCCTGTCCCTGAACTCTCAGCTCTTACTCCGTGTGTGCTCAGGGATTTGGTAAACAGGGGAGAGCTTGGTGTCCCTCCAAGCATGGTCAGACAGCTCCACACAAGTTCCTTTGGGATGCCCCAGAAGTTGCTGGCTGCTACAGTCACACACATACAGCCTTGCTGTAAAGTGGGTAAGTCCTGGCAGCCTTCTGAGATTGTGCATGCAAGAGAGGTTTTTTTCCCTGTTTGGATGACTTCAGCCTAGCCTGGAGGAGGTTTCTTCAGACTTTCCGCCTGCCTAGGTTTGCTTCGGACTGGGGAGAGACACAGGGAACTTCAGCACAGAGGAAGGGAAATAATGACTGGAAATTTCCATGTCCTGGGATGCAGAAGCCTGGCTGTAACAGATCGGCCAAGCTG